TCGTTTTTAGCTCATTTGGACAGAGCCGAAGTGGGTGATGTTCGCGTGCTTGTTGAGCTAGCTTTGCATGTTGTGGGCTCGACTTTGGGCACATTTGAAGTGTTTAGTCCATGGGCATTGACTTCTTGGTTCCAAGCAAATAGTCAATTATGTCCAGGATAGGATCGGTTTGTTCAGTATTAAAGAGGGGCCTTTCTTTCCTGACTTTATGTCTAGTTCTTGAATTGGGTTGCTGAATAATCTACACATACAGAAATTCATGAGAGGGCAGGGATTGGTCCCCCGTTGTACCTCCAACGATCAAGTTAGCTGATGACTTGAGTGGGGTAAAGGAAGAACCGTGTGTTCTAGTAATTGTGCAGTGTATGCATTGGAGGATCAGCTTTGTGAAAATGTTAGAATAGTATTTGTATTTATACTCAGTGCATAAGGGGTAGATTAGTCTTTTTGGCTGAGCACAGAAGGGCGGTGGCGAAGTTCGGGCTAGCAGGTGAGTCAACTATTGCTTTACAGGTGCCGACTAGAGGCTGGAGGGAGGATCTCCTCAGCATTAAATGAAAAGTAAGGGGGAGTATGGTGGCAGCCTACATGGTCTGATGAGTCATAAAGATTATCTGGGCTAGAGTCATGATGACTCTGTTAAGTATTAAATGTAATGTTGACACATTGTCAGCAAGGATAAGCTCGAAACAAAAGTTATCCTCTAGCTTTGTCAAAAAGTAACACCGTTCGAGTCGTCATCGTGAGGCGTTAGTCACATGGTCGAGTGGACTTCTGGTGAGTCGTCTTCGACAAGCACGTTGACTAGTACTGCTTTTCGAGTCGATATGAAACAATATTGAGTCGACCAATCGGCTAAGTCGGATTCTACTAGGCTTGGGCCGCCAAGTTGATTGAGGCATTGATTATGGAAATACATATGTTCGTCACTTGCTAATAAATTGTATTTTGGTAAGTGGGAACACCATAGCAGAAACTAAAAAAAAGGAAGAATTGGAAACTAGAAAAGAGAAGAAAGTAGGAAGCAAAGAAAACTCAATAAAATAAAATCAAGAAGAGGGAAATCAAGAGTGAAAGAAAAATCAAATCAAGAGAGATTAAGGAAAAATAAGTAGAGAAGTTAAGAATCTAGAATTGAATCCACTAGTTAATTTTAATTAGAATTTATGAACTACTCTCTTGTATCATATTTTACTTTATATTTACTAAACATATACGATCAAACCACTTAAAGAACGCATAATATACCAAATTATCATCCAAGTAAAAATTTCCATTTATGAAAAGAACAAGCAATTAGATAATAATTCTAAAAATAAATATATACCTATCAAACAGCTCAAGATAAGTATAAGTTATCAAACTCTTTTTCTATCAACTAATTCTCTAGTTGTTTATCCTAACTAGGATTAGTTTAGGCATAAGGAGAACAATCCATAAATCATAAAAACAATTAAACTAGTTTCAAATGATTCTAGATTTCCTACAATAATTAGTTATTCATTTTATAAAAAAATAATAAAATAAAATCTATACTAGAAAGCATAATAGAATAAAAGGTAATTCTAAACTACAAGTGAAAAAAATTTAAAATAAAAAACAATAAAGAGCAAAAAAATAAATGTACTAAACATGAAATAAATCTAATCTACTAAACATGAAATAAAAATAAAAAATCTTCATCTTCATCATCATCGAAGAAGAAAAGAATATTTAAAAGGAGTAAAAAAATTTATGTATTGCAAGCAAAAAATTTATAATTTTTAAAAGGTCTTCTCAAATAAGAGTAACTCTCCTATCCAAAATAAAGTTTTTTTACAAAATTTTTCATACCAAACCCCTCACTCTCTACCCGTGTTTATAGCCCACAACAATCAACTTGAGCCATTGGATTTGTCTTGATCTCCAAAAAATAAATCTTAGCCACTAACTAATTATATTAAGATTTACTTGGTTGGCTAATCGATTAGCTAATAGATTAGTCAATCGATTAGCTAATAGATTAGTCAATCGATTGGTTAATTGATTAGGTTTTAACAGAATTTGATTCTTTTATTAATTTGTTGACCCAAATTTTTCTTGATCTTTTGGGGTTTACAGGCCTTCACTTGACTTGACCTTGGGCTTAATAAAAGGTTAAAAATGAGGAAAATTGGTTTTTTGAGCTCTTATTCATAATACTTTGTTACCTTCAAATTAAGATAAAATTTACTTCACTAGCAGTTATTTTATTCAAAATAAAAGGGAATGAGGGTATAAAAGTGTAGTAAAATATAATGATCAAATACAGTTGTACATATTCACATAACAACCACAGTACATTTAACATACAATTGCAACAAATTGCACCAAATATGATTATTCAATAGTCACAATACATTTCATTAAATTTTTTTATCAAAGTACAACCAAACCACAAGAACACAGAATAGACTCAACTCAACAATTCAAATGACACATTACAAGCAATTCTGGAGAACATACACAAGAACAAAGAGTATAAAACATCCTACAATAAAATCAAATCGTCTTCCTCTTTTCTTTTGCATGCTCACCCTCCTAATTCTTTTTTTTTCCTCTTTTCATTTTCACAACCTCATTCAAGCAACAACAAGTTTCACGTTCATGTTTATTCAACTTAAACCATTATTTGGCATCCCCTATTTAAGGTCATTCTCACACTTTTTAGTCAACTCATCCTTCAAATTCAAACTTCTATTCAAATCAACAAGTTCTTCTCTCATAAATGAAAACAATTGAGTTCCCACACTACACACGGAGTTTTCAAACCACTCCTAAAATCTACAACCACCAATCTAACACTATGCCAAAAAAAGTAAAATAAAAAAAAGTTAAATCATGAACCATAAATCACAACCGCTTGATCAAAGATAATTCATAAATTCAAGGGCACTTACATGATTATTAGGGTGTCTATAGAATCTTCTTGTAGGATTTTCATTAGTTATGAAAGTGTAATACTCACACTCCAAACTACATGTATTAAACTTGATCTTAAATTTCTTTGCTGCACCATCCCATCTCTGTATAGAATTGAGCCAATCAAACCTTTGCCTACTTCTCTCCCCACTAAAGCTTGATGCAAACTGAAAGCGTGAACTAGAGGTCGAAGAAGACATGTTCTCTAGCAATGGAGAACCCCCACTTTGAAAGAGGAAGGAGAAATTAAAAATTCCTCTTTTGAAAAGCCCAAGTTGAAAATCTCCCCTTTCTAATGGATTTATTAAGCTTAATTACCGATGCCATCTTTTCATAATTATGTCGTGTGTAACTCACATGTTTGATCACATAAGGCTTTGCCGGAGAAAATTGGTCGGAGATTTGTTTTTGGGTCTATATGTCCAATCGTTCTATTTTTAATACCTTATTGTCACCTGAGTTAAAAATCACATCAATCAAATAATTACCACCCATTTTTACTACCAATATGGTAATCTGGCCATTTGTAGACATAATAGATGCATAATAGATGGGGTATAATAGTCACTTTGCCTCCAACCGTTACTTTTGATGGAATATTTCTTTCAAATCTAACATGTGTTAACTAAAAGGACCATTTTATAAGAATCTTGGATTTGATGGACTAATATACAATTTTCAAGATTTGATTTTTTTTTTTTTTTGGTTGATTGGATTCTAAGGTCCTTGATCAAAAGAAGCGGCAAAATATTTGATTGGCAATGCAGGAATCAGATGATATGGTCCTTGAATTCATTTACTTTTTTTTTGCTTGAAACTTAAACTCATGTATTTCATATATTTTTTTTTTGTTAGTTTTTTCTAGGGATAGTAG